CTTGTTGAGAGCAGCCTCGACGACGTCCCGAGCTGGCAGCCAAGCCTTGGCGTAGTAGTCTAGTCGGTTCATAAACTCTTCACCAGCCATCTTGGACGCTTCCTTGAATTTGGCCTAAAAGGAGAAAAGTTGGCAAGCGTGCCTCTTCTCGGCGGACAAACACTCACATCCAAGATCTCATCATTGGACGCCTCGTTCCATCGCGGGTTCATCCATCCAACACGGGAAGATAGATCCGTTCGGTTGCTGTACCTCGGCTGGCCAGCGCTTTCCGCATCATACTGACTGATTCCATTATCAATCGCATCAATACCCTCGACAAACTCCTTGTAAAGCTTGATCCAAAGCGTATGGTTTGCCTGCTCGGTCTCTGCGATACCGGTTTGGTTGGCGATGATGTGTCGGCCAAAGTGCTTGTAGACGAGACCGGCAGAGGAGAGCTTGGTGTCAAACCAGGTCTTTGATGCGTCGGCTGCGCGAGGGGTAGGTTCAGAGGGAGTAGGAACGGTGCCGTTGCCAAAGATCTCGGTGAAGCCCTTTTGGTGGTGGTCGAATCGGTTCTTGTCGGCGTCATAGATGCCCCCAACGTCGATTACAATGTCCAAGGGGTCGACTGTATGAAGAACGACATCAATACCGCATACCGCACGGAAAGGAGTCGCTACGCACGTTTAGCCTGGTCTCGAGTTCGCACAAGGTCAGCGTCCCGGAATTCATCGGTCATCCTGAGCATGGCGACTCCGAGAGCTTCATCGGCGTGGAATGAGCCAGAGTGAGTGCCGATGACTCGGGTGGACTTCATCCTCTTGGCCATGGGTTCCGGGAGGACTGATGCAATGGTGTCGGCGACGGTAGACATTTTGGAGGATCGAAGGTGCAATGGTAGTCGTTGGAGGAGCCGCTGAAGCATGTACTTGGTGAGCTGGCCGTAAGGAAGACGTTAACGACGTGCGGTATGCATCGACTTGACAGGAGGTTGGTGAGATGCTGGGTGGTATGTGCTTCAACTTTCAACTTTTGGTAGACTCGCGCGGAGATTATGGGTAATGTCCTTGTGTGATCTTACGAATCATGGATCATGGATGATTCGAATGAATGAAGAGGTTTGTGGATAGCTGTGGTCTTTGTCGAGGCAACAGCAAAGCTCGACTCGCCAGCTCACTGCGACAATGGAACAATCAAAGACCTCAACATGGCCAGCTCCAACACCTCGCAAGCCTCTGGACGCCAAACAACTGCGAACACGCGCAATGTCGCTCGTTGTTCTCTCTATCATGCTCTTCATTCTGTTGGGGTCGTACTGGTTGCTGAGTAGTCTTGGATGGGTGAGTGTTTGTATACAGCAGGCGCTGAAGGATCCTCGTGGGCTAGGTGCTGAGTCTTCCGTTGTTGGTGCATAGGGAAAGAGCGATCTCCGATACTTGCAGTATACCATTCCGCTGCTTGTGCCCGTCACAGCCTGGTTCGTCATCGCCAACTGGGTCGGGTGGCAGTACTTACGATACGCCTGATGCGCAATGCGACAGTTATGACGAGCTGACGCGCGCCAAGGTATTATCACCTCACGTTGCATCATTCGGGAGGCGGCGCTGGATCGAAATGAGCATGCTATCAGGTGAGTTCTGTTCCTCCATCACATACTCCTTGTCTTGACTGATGTGTTCCGCATGTCGAACAGAAGACTATTGTCCGAGGTATCGTCTTCCTTCGAAAGCAATAATCCGCGATGTACTATCGTATCCCGGGAACGACATGATCCGTTCACGCCCGGTATATCAGCCGCAAATCGTCTCCGGATCGCTTTGCTCGCTCCTCTCAGGATCATCCGCCGCTCAATCCACCGCAGCCTGGCCATGTGGCAGTGGATTTCCTCTAGTCTCTCTGGGTATCTCAATCTGCATCACCTCGGTACAGATTGTTTTCGCTGATCGCGCGTTCGAGCGGAGGCCTCCGGTCGAATCAAAGTCGGATGAGCTGGTATCAATGGCTACCGAGCCTAGAATCCGACAGTCTGGTTGATGTTCAGCACGGTCCACAACCCATCTGCGTATCCCGCGATCAATAGGCAGTACGGAGCATATACCGAAGGGTCCGGCCAATCTTGTGGAATTCAAAATCTCGTGCAGCGACTCTTTGGCCGGACTATACGAATCTGCACAGCAGATTAGCCGGATGCGGAAAAGAGATGGATCTATGGTGGCTCCTTACCGCCTCCTGGCAGTGCCACTCAAATAAATGTTATCCGCTATGTCGGCGTCAATGTGCACGGCGCATATCGCACTTTACTCGGCCTGGGTCGATAACCACCGTTTGCTGTCTATCACCATACAAAACAAGCAAGGGCCATGGGACACTCTGCGACTTCGGACGCAGGATCCGAGCAACGGGACAACGCAGTTCCGGAATTTCCGAGCCTTCGGTATACAAGGAGGGGACTTCGACCTCGTTTTCAATCTTTCGTAGCATCACCTTGCAGATCAGGTAGGCGCGACATAAACGTTGCGTCATCCTGTCCTTTGATTCTAAATCTACACAATACAATATCGATCTATACGTTCAGTCCATTCCCTCTTTCCGCAAGCATCCTCTTATCCAACTACGCACCGAACGTGCGTCCTTGACGTCGCGGACATGCCACCCAATTTTTTGCCCGTCACAGTTGCCTGATCTGGCAGATGCCACGACTGCTCTCGTCAAAGAATCGCTAAAACGTTGGGTTTTCGATAAATGCACCTTATCAACATGTCGTTTCTTCCCATTCTCACTCTGTCTCTCTTGCGACAACGATCTCTCTTGCGGGCGGTTCCTTCGTGTATCGGTTCTTTTCACCAAGTAGCTTCTATCTCTTTGTTTTGTTTGTACCTAGAGTGCATATGACCCTCAAATAAACACAAGGTACTCGAGGTCAGAGTCCCAGGCCATACTCACATGTGGCTCCTCCGCATCGTGTCTTCTTCTCTCTGCAATAGTCGCATATTACCTTGCGCTTCGACTTTTTGGATTCAGGATCCCGAGTGGGAGAATCCTGGGTGGGAGAGCCCGGGCTTCTGCCGTGTTTTCGCGTGTTGACTGAAAAAACTGCGGTCGGGCTGTCGCTTGTTATACTGACATTTGTTTCGATCCCGTCACGCGGCTGGCCAAGGCCGCAAGGCAAGTCATTTGAGCATGAGAGCCAATGAATCAACACTGAGATTACACTCACACCGGATAAATCGCACACGCATTTGACCTTCCTTGATCTGCAGTCTTGACATGCAGTGTTCCGAGTCCGTCGATGGCTTTTAGCTTGGTAGCCACCGCTCTTCCTGTTTCTCACTGTTGTGTGTGTACCTACACGATCCTTCTGCGACACGGATCGTGGGGGAGAAGTGGAAGCTTCAGCCACAGATTGAACAAGCGCCTTTTTCGAATCCTGTTGAAATCCAGCTCAGGTGTTCATCCAGCAACACCTCAAGGGCCCTACAATTTCAGGCACACCATTAGAGGACTCTGTGCTGTCGTTTTCATGACGAATTGCGTCTGTCGGGGCAGGTGAGAGGGAGCGCGAGGTCGTGGACGATATTGAAGAGAGGTCGCTACAAGTGTTAGACGAGGGTGAATGGGTTGTCTTCAGTTGTCCATTCTGAGCCCGACGCCCATCATGCGCAAGATGTTGAGTCGCAAGTGAGGCCGGTGCAGATGGCGCCGTCCTATGGTTGTGTGAGTGCGCCATGCCCTGCGGCAAGGCATGAGACACAGTGGAGTTCCCGCTCTGGTGGGCCAGTGTAGCATCTTTGGGGCGTGATAGATCACCATAATCTGTCTCAGCGAGCAGAATCATTTTTCTGTCCATTTGCGTCGAAAAACACTCTCAATAAAGCGTTGAGTGCCTTTGGGTCGTTCGCAAGGTCGTCGTCGTCGGAAGTTCCCTTTGGATAAGACCCCTTTTGCAATATGAATGCCTCGAAGTCCTGTTGGTCGTCGTCTGGGAGAAATGGAGTGTAGAGTGAAGTTATTGGCCCCTGCGGTTCGTCTTCTAGCGTAACTAGCGTCTTTCCAATATCGCGGCTCAGGAGACCATCATGGGAGCAGGTAGGCCAGTCAGATGGCCCAAAGCTAGAGGAGGGGGGGGACATTGCCCACATGGGTCGAGCCGAACCCTGCTTGATTCTTATCTTGCTTTTGGTAAAGCCAGGGGGTACGAAATAGAGCAAGCCGTTATATTGCCGCGCCAAAGGTAGAGTTTTTCGGAGACGGGGAGCAGGCAGGTCACAACTAAAGCTATATCTTGTTCCCCGTTCTATCTCAATTATGCCCGCGGAATTTGCGATCTCATTCAGGCGGTTTGACGGGCGGTCAGCGTTTCAGGCAAACCCCTTCAGTGTTCTTCCCATGAAAGGACAAAGATCGGCTACACAGCCTCTACGAGCACATGAAGCAACAATGAAGGCCTTTAAACGATACCGAAGCATAAGGGAGCTTTTCGAGCCTATGAGCCTAATGAGTAGAAGGGGCAGAGGCATAGTGCGATGTCTGTCGCTCACCAGGAGGAGTGCGCTCAAGTCTCTATCGCCCTTAAGCAAGAGACTGGCGTCCAATAAGCTGCCTACTTCTGGATAGGGCAGCAAATGGAACAGTGGTTATGAGGACGGTAAATGAGCAGTATAACCGCTGAACCTGATCCGCTGAATATTCATAGGATCAGTCAGCTGATTAGTCCCACCTATTTTCTGGCAAGACCTCCTGACTTGTGAATTATGATTCACGCTATTCCCACCCATGAAGTCACACCGGATTAACACTGACAATCGGGCGATCGCCGCATCAATTGTCACGACCCATCATATTGTGAACTAGTCCCGGACTGCTCACTGACCGGAAGGTAACAAGGTGTGGTGTAGCAAACCGGTGGCTGTGAAAGCATGGGAAACCTGAGCAAGGAGATCTAGAAGGTGGCAACAAAAATGGCCTTCAGAATGGCCTCACTATACAAAAACATCCCAATATTTCCAGCATCAAATGCCTGCGTTGCACAGTGGTAGTGCGTAGCTTTCCTATATATAGGGGTGTTCTAACCCCTATTCGGAGCGAGGCTGAGGTCGTGGGTTCGACACCCACCGTGGGTTTTTCTTTTTGCTCTTTTTTGAGCTCTTCTGAGGGTCTTTTTGCATACCTCGGAGGTGACTTATCAACCTGAGAGTGAGAGCTATCTTTCCCAAGTGGTTACAAGTCTCTACGACAAGATCTGGGCATGTACCGAGCGTTCGCAGTCGACGTTGCGTCTCTCAAATCCAACTCTTCCTGCATCCTCTCAATTTTGTTGCCATCACCTCAGTCGCGTCCAGCAATAGCATCCGCGCTCGGGCGCCGGCCCGATATCGCAATAGGAGTTGTCGGATCCACCATCTGCGGGGCACGCTTTGCACGCCTCAATTGACCAGCTAATTGACCGGTTGTCGAGCGAGGCAGATCTCGTTACGGCCATATGAGATCCGACGACAGTGCCGGTGCCAGGCGGTCCAAGATGGAGTCCCGACATATAATACGACGGCTTGTGTATTGGAACGCAGCCCGATGATGAACGTGACAATCAAATAACGCAAACACCACTCCTTCCACCTCGCTTCCAACTTATCCACGATGGCTCCTCCTCCATCCGCCGAAATTCCCGCCGACAGCAAGATGCACACCGCACCTGCTCACCCTCGACGACTCGTGACGTCGCACAACGAAAAGGGAGAAGCAACTTTCTGGCTAGAAGGCGAGATTCCGAGTACGAGCTTTTACAAGGGTGAAGAGGAGTGCGCGATCTTTCATGTGAGTCCAGCATACATTATCCTTTACGTCAACGCTAAACTCCGTCCCTAGGTGCCTTGGACAACGCAAGGCTTCCCCGTTCCGATCCAAGACACGGAAGACAAGGCATACACCAAGAATTCCTCAACTCTAGCAACAAAGGACGGCATCGTCTGCCGATTCGTTGATTTCCCGCCAAAGACCTACTCGCCAATGCACCGAACCGTTTCGCTCGATTATGGAGTCGTCATTTTTGGTGATCTGGAGATGGAGGTTGATAATGGAGAGCTAAGGAAGATGACTCAATCAGATGTTGTTGTCCAGCGGGGAACGTGAGTGCGATGTTTGGCCAATCACAGGAATGAAGCTGATCCGTTTCTTCCTCAGCATCCACAAATGGTGGAACAAGTCGGACCAATGGGCTAGGATGATGTTCATTTTGATCGCTTCCGAGCCGGTCAAGGTTGACGGCAAGGTGCTCGAGGGCAACATGTAACCGTGCAGAATACAGGACACACTTGATCGTATGCATGGCTAACTGGGACTTTGCAACGAGACCAGGGGAGTGAAACGAGATGATGTCTGATTTGATACAACGTTAAACCTACGGCCGAGGTACTCAGTTCGATGTGTAAGCGTAAGCAAAGTTGCAGTTGGCGGCTTGGAACAAAAGCCATTGATCGAATCACTGGTGATTCATATCTCGTTGCTCTTGACGATTCATACGTTGCAATCAGCTATACAATTGCCTCCCTAAAGCTTCCTAACACCCGACACATCCCCAGCTCCAGCAATATCCTGATGAGCAAACTCGCGCACCCGACCCAACTTCAAGCTCGCCAACCCATCAACAATGTTATGAATCGTCGGCAGCTTCTCCCACGGATGACGAGCAATTTGTAGATTGCAATCTTGTATCGACCCAGTAGGCGCAAAGTACCTTGTGATACTGTATTTCAAAGCGATACGTCAGCGCGAAGTTGTACGACATTAGCAGCGACACTTACGGTGGTGTCTTGCTGCCACCGCCTGGGACGAAGATCGGGTACGAAGCATCGTGCTTTCCTGGTTCTCCGACTGTTGGGACGTAACGATGATGGAGCAGGCCTTCAACGGAAGCTTACCAATACAACAAATTCAGATCAGCAAATGCGCTCAAAGCACGTGCTAGCGGAGTCGACGTACGCATGGTATACGGTCTTGCGTTCATAGAAGGCGATTCCTCTACGGGCCTTTCTTGCACTGGCACAGCCAGCCTGTTGACGAGCAGCGTATCAGTTCGGCGTAGCATATCACAGTTGAACCTGGAACTTACCGCATGAACTCGGTTCCAAGCCAGGACTAGAATCGGTCAAGAACGGATTTAAGTGCCAGGATCGGATTCGAGCTAGTGGTAGATGAGCTTACAGCAGTATGAACCAGGTGATCTTCTTGGGTTATCGGGTCAGGTAGTTCCGCCCATACTTTCCTGTCGTGACAACATGTGATTCAGCACAAGCATCAACCTCCTCGACCACACCTCGACTTACGGGAAGCCAAGCTCTTCGCGACCGGTCACAATTGGATCGCAAAAGTTCTCAAAGAGCACGAGCAAGTACGATGCCTTGACAGATTCATCGCTAAGCTTGCATACGACATCGTTAACGTACACACCCCAAGTGTTGTATCCTATGGACACGATCAAGCAGATCAGCGACAGTGTCCAAGCGGTCTGCAAGTGTGATAAAAATACTGGGCTCACCTCTACCCGCGAGCCATGGTAGATTTCGCAAGTTCATTACCTCGAAAAGCACAGTCGCCTGCTGGGTCTCTGAAGCAATCTCATATCCTTCAGGAAGAAGAGACTGTGCAGATGCTCTGTCGCAGTCATACACGACACCTGGAAGAGCAAAGTGTACAGGCTCAGCTTGACTACGACTTCTTCAGGTTGAGCAACATACTTGTCAATTGCACTCTCGCTTCCTTCCAAGTCGTAAACCGCTGCCCATCCGGTCCTTGCCTGTATGTATAACGCACACAAGAGTCAGCAAGGGGCGGAAGATATAGTGGAATGGGCCCCTCGGCGGGCAAACGCACCTAGGACCCGCCGCTGGTCCAAAGCCCACTGGCTGTCGGTAGTATGAAGTGGTGTCTTTAAACATCGTTGTCTTGTTTAAGGGACGAGTGATATCCGTGACGTTGTAGGATACGCTAGTCGATACGGAATTATGGATGAAGCTCGTCGGGAGACAGTCTCCAACTCTCGAAGACTGCGGTCGGTAAGTCGAACGACACACGCCAATGAAACCGTTGGCGTCGTGCAAGTCATTGTTGTATAGAGATGGTGTGTCTGCAAACAACAGTCGGCAAACCTGCCTCCGGACATACTGCCTTCATGAGCATGGATCCCGTAACATCACCGACCAAGCTACCGACCGCAGCGCCGTTCGAGATGCCGCACTTATCTCAGCGGAGGTCTCGATTGATTGCAACGCTCGAGCGCGGAGTCCTGGGAAATAGCAGAATTGAAATACATGACTTTACAATTCTGACAGATGGTGACCGGCTCTACGTGAATGGGCAGGACTAGTGCCGCAACAGCGCGAGCGATATCCAGCAGCTCGTCCAACCATCTATACAGTACAATCAACTGCCACCGAAGAGCTCGACCGAAGGCGTCTGATTCATTGGAGACCCCGCTGGGAATAATCGAGCCCCACCATGGAGATATCTGTGTGTTTGCTTCCTTGCGGCCGATACCGTTCTCTGAACAATGACATCTGACATAGACATCCACTTCTTATTGTCTTCGTACATCTTTACGGATATATACCAGCTCACGTAGCTCCCCGATTACCTTGAAACAACAGCTATGATGTGAAGCCAGATCTGCGTTCATTCCACATAATTCGTCTACACTACAATGCCCGTTATCCATCACAACCTTATTGGCTGGTCCAACTTGCCAGGACATATCAGCCCTTACTGGACCGCCGTAGTGCTAATCTCATGCTACGCGACTGTTCGACTTGTGCAGGTAAGTCATCGCGACTGTTAAGAAAGGAATATAGCTCATCACCAGCTTTCTGCAGACATTGGCTACAGCGTTCTTCTCCCCTCTGGCCAAAGTTCCTGGTCCACTCTTGAACAGTCTTACCGAATGGCCGCTGAAGCTACAGACACTGGCAGGCCGTCGTATCTACTATGTTGACGACTTGCACAAGCGTTATGGTAAGCCAGTCAACTCCATCGTACTAGCAATAACTCACGAACCATCTCCTCGTTAGGTCCCATCGTAAGAATTGCCCCGAACGAACTCGCCGTCAATGAACTGGCTTCAGTGAAAGAAGTTCACAGAATCGGTTCAGGGTTTGGCAAATCCGAATGGTACCCCATCATCTCAGGCGAATCACCAATCAACGCGGGAATGTTCTCCCAACGCGATCCGAAGAAGCATGCGATCCGTCGCAAATTGTTTTCCCAGCCATTCTCGAAAGCTGGTATTCAGGAATGGGAGGAAATGTTAAAGGAAAAAGTGAACATGGCGGTGGCAGGGATGGGAAAGATGGCTGCGCGTGGTGACGGCGTAGCGGATGTGTTGGAGTGGTGGACGTTTATGACGACCGATGTGATAGCTGAACTTGGGTTTGGCGAGAACTTTCATGCATTGGAAACCGGAAAGGTGCGCTACTTGGAACTTCCGTTTACACACTATTCCTCATCCTCCTGGTTATTTAGCCCTCGCAATACACCAAGGATCTCCTCAAAACGTTCATCTTATCGGGCCTACGCGCAAACTTTCCATTTCTCTTCAACCTCGCCAAATACCTTCCGATTCCGCCTCTGCAACACGTTGTCGGGGCATTTCGTCGACTGGAAGTATACGGAGAACAAGCAATTGCGAAATACCGACATATGGAAAAGAATGGCGGGTGTCGAAAAACGCTCTTCACCAACATGGCAGAGGGCGCGATAGATGACAAGGCGATCGCTAGGGAAGCTCAGAACTTGATTATCGCCGGTACGGATACGACGTCTGTGACACTCACGTACCTCGTATGGGCCGTCGCGAGTCATCCGAAAGTCAAAGCGAAGCTCCTCGAAGAGATCCGACAAAAGATCCATTCCGATACTTTTAGGACAGCCGACACGGAGGAACTGCCGTATCTCCAAGCAGTCATTCAGGAGACTTTGAGGTTGTACGGCGCCGCCCCTGGTGGGCTACCACGAGTCGCTCCAGCTGGCGGACGAGTGCTGAGCGAAGTATTTGTGCCAGAAGGAACGGTGGTCACGACACAGGCTTATTCGCTGCATAGGGATGCCAATATCTACGCTGATTCTCACAGGTAAC